ATTCGCAGGTTTCCATTCTCTATAGGATAGTGTAAGGATAACTTATTTATTTTCTCGGCTATGACGTTACAAAGAGAGGCGTTGCCGAGGCGGCGCACGATTGTGTAACGTAATATCAAGATCGAGAACCAGCCTTTGGCCAGACGGAAATAATGCTCGGAGGTGTGTCACTCAGGTTCGCGACCGCTCTTCGATGTTTCTCCGATATTCATCGATCGATTAATACACTGGATCAATATTAGACATAAATACGAGCTCGAGCGTGTCAAAAAACAGCCTGGCTCTCGTTTCACGCACGGGCGATTTTGTGCGCGTAAGAAAAGCTGGTTGATGCAATTTACATCCGACCTGTCGTCGATACAAGGGTGCCTATGGTGCGATAAATTTTTTGAAAATTATATTTATTCGTTCAATATAGTCCAAAATACGAGATGTGAAACAAATATTCAACTATATTAAATTTGAAATACTTACAAAATTAGTAAAGTTTAATATAAATTTAGTATATTTAAATTTGATAGTTATTCACTTTTTTGTACTGTGTTAAATTTTGAATTTTGGAACCAATATATTTCTATTTTTTCTTAAATTTGCTTAGATCTTTTTATTATGTTATATCTTTTATTTATAATGTCATTACATCTTATATATATATATAAATATATATATAATATATAAAATAGGACTGGCTTAAGCCGCCTTTCTGCTTTCCTCAAGAAATGACGTCAACGTATTTTTACATTTATGGCAGTCTCTATCTATGCTTTTCCTCTCGAACCACTTAAATTATTGCGAGTCCTATATGAATTTAAAAATATAATCAATAATTTAAATATAATATAATTTATTATTTTAAAATAATATAATTTTTACTATTTTATTTCAAAATTAAAACTACAAAAGTATACATGCTATATAGAGCGAAACAATAGCGCAATTTATCTGATAATAAATATGATAATTTGTATAACATCTCATGAATAACGCGAAATTTATGAAATTATCTCCAAAGTATCGAAATGTCCTTGAAAGTTGACATTATAACGGTTTCTTTATTATTTACTTTTTGCAAAATATCACTAGTTTTTACTTCTATTTACTTTTCAGTTAAGAAACTGATCATTAACGATAAGTGTATAAATCACTATTTATACATACTTATGATTTCTTTATTTGATGTATAACATGGTAATATATGTATAAGTAACAGTGCAACAACTTATCTACATATATCAGTAGTTACCTTGATGTTTATGTTAATATTTTGTACATTACAGCAAACATTAATAACAAAACTTACAACAAAATAGCAAGTAATAGACAATAGTTTTTATTTTTTTTTTTTATTAAAGTATAACAATAATTTTAAAATAATTAAAAAATGTTTTAATTAGTTATATTAACAAATAATAATAATTGAATTTATGAGATAATAATATGCATTATTAAAATCCTTTTATTTTATTCAAAATTTAATAATGTTACAATAGATCGAATGCACAGGTACATCTTGATAGACCATTTACATATAGCTACGATAAGCATTAATCAATATCAATCCTAAGGTAAGCACCGGATAATGAGATCAATCAAAACATGCACCATTAGATTAGCAAACTAGCTGCGCTCCGATCAAAGATACCCAAATCAGACAAGCAAGTAACCGTGTGACCGCTACATTCTACTACAAATTGCTCGTATTTAATTCAAATTAAGCTCGCACTAAGTAATCGCAGGAAACGATAAAACGCGAACCTTTTCCGAATAGTGCATTAAATATCTCTATAATCTCATCATTCCGTTACTACGTAATAATACGTGTAGATTAATTGCTCAAACCTTGCTTTGAGAGAAATAGCAAAATATAATTATTCTGGATAGTCGCACTCCGGATGTTATGGTGAAATAAATTATATTAAATTTATTGGGATTTAATTATATGATAATAATATCTTGATAAGTATCTTGTAAGGTAACGAACATCAATCCTTGCCTCTCACTTCGAAGTATAACTTAATCACCACTTATTTTGCAAAAGATTTGAATATTCCACTATTTTCTGTGTAACATTAATTTCATAAAATTACAGATATTATTTATTGATGTTTAAATTGATATTATAATTTAAATACACGCGCGTGCAAACATGCTATGTTATAATATTTCGAATTTACATACAAAACTAATGTATAAATTCTAAGCAGAATCATAAGGCTCGTAACATATTCTCGTAAGACTTATAAGAACTTTTAAGTGCTTTATATACAATCTCACCTTTACACGATATCTTTACAGACAGCTTCTTACTAGTTATAAATTCTTACAAATTTCACGAAAACAAGTATAATGAGAATCTTACGTTTTACCTAGAATCGATCCATAAATATCAGAAATAACTTTTCAAAAAATACGAAACTATTTGCGACATACGTGGAGTGCCTGAAAGTAATGGTGAAACTTAACATGGAACTGATAATGAATAAAAATGCAAAATTGCAAAGTCAGATATATACATTTTACCTTTATACACCACCTCTCTCCCTGCACACACATACACGTACTGAATACTCGTAAATAATATAAAAACGCCATTTACAATCCGAGAACTTAAACTACCGCTCGTAAAATATACAAGTGCCTTCTTATGGTGTTTGGACTGTACTCAAAGAGAGATAAATGAATATTAAACCAGAAAACACAATTCGTTTGGGCGTAGTGAAACGATAGGGTGTCCATTCTGCGTACCGACGTGACAGACTTAATCGCCTTATATCACTTTAGAAATGTTACGTGTTATTTGTCGCAATGTCGTGATTTAAACAATTAATTACTATTTTGTGATTAAAACAATATATTTTCTTATTATATAATTTATGAAAAATAGAACACAAATAAAAAAAATTAAAAGACAAATAAAAAATTCTTAAGTTAATAAAATATCAAAATTATAAAGTTTTATAAATCCCCATATTATTAATAGCATTTTGAAATATATTATAGTATCATTTATTAAAATATAAAAATTTCATAAATATCCATGTGATCATTCAAAGATATAATTTTCTATTTTATTTTCTAAAGGTGATTTTTTTCAACATTTCTTCATAAATAATAAATAAAATCCTCGTTTCAAAACGTAGATGAGAAGTGTCTAGTGAGACTTATGAAGGACGTGAGAGTAAACTAACAACTAATTTCTCAAGAAGACGAGATTGTCTATAAATCAATTGGTAAGCAGGGATAAAAAAAATCGCCTTAATGTACATCAATTAGTTACTGATTCACACTGTTAATGATAATTTTTACAGCCATAAAACCAACATATCAATCTCGCAGATGATAACAATCCGCAAAATTGCTACCTTGCGTATACTTCGTATACGGTGCGTAACGTAATAATAATGCACCGCAATAGAAGACACTACTTTCCTCTCAACGCATGATTTATATTAGCACTGTGAACTAGCTGCTTTATCTCGTAATGAAGTATTAAGCAATCTTGCACTAACCAACAGCCGCCGGACACGAAGGAGTATAAATTCACATGTTACAATTAATATTGTGCTATGCGTGAATTGCGTAGTCAGAAATTCGTCGTTTCGTATCTATACATGATCGCATTGCATTATAAGAAAGATATCTCGTAACAGAGAAATTAGAATTAAATATGTGCAATATATATTATACGTACATACATATAGAGTATAGGATTAAAAGATTGTAGGAAGTAACATTTTATTACTTGTAACGTTGTTATCATTACAATTACTTTCTTTCGATAACAAATGGATAACAGTATCACACTTTCTTATTTATAACATTAATGGTAATGCAATTACATTTTTTCGAGAAAGATAATAAATGTATAATCGTCATTTTTAACATTACTTCGTGCATAATACATATGTATGGAACATGCATATAAGCAAACCCTTTTGAACTATTTTGTCATTAACCGTAAACATTAAATCTTATAAAACTAATAAATTAACAATATGGATAATTGCCATTCTGAAAACATCATCAAAATTTGGTGAAAAAAATAACAAAAATTATAACTTTAGCTTTTAAGCAACTGTAATGGAATAACAAGTGCTTTTTAAAATAATAATAACAATAAGTTACCTTTATAAAATAATTTTCCCTTACAAATATATGTACATCTAAATACATTTTATTTATATAGTTTATATACATTTTACTATTTATTAAATCATATTGCAATTATAATTTTGTTAAAGCAAACTGACATTTTAAATTATCTAAAGATATAGAAATATTCTGTTATTATATATTCATTTGATATTTATTTTTTCTTCTAAAGTTTTATACGTTATAAATCCTTTATCTTTAATTTTTAATTGAATTGTATTATTATGCATTTCAATTAAGCTTTAAATAAATAATTAAAACTACAGATACATCTTCAACTTTGATTTTTGATAAAAAAGATAGTTTAAAAAAATACGATGTGTAAAAATATATTTTACACAACACACGATTTTATAAATAACAATCTAAACGGTTTAATTAAATTCTGATTTCATAACGAAAGACTTGAATAAAATGACCGCGAGAAAAAGGACTGTTATATCGCCGAGCACTAGCAAGATCCTGTAATTTTTCAATGACGCACGTGACATCACGGCTAAGGTAGATCTCTCGACAGGTGGAAAAATGGTCTCGTTAAGGCTGTGGCATCGAAATGCACTCACATATGCACGTATATCTGCATAAAGTGGTGGCTAAGCGCGCGCTCCATTTACCAACGGCAGCTTGCGCACGTTTAACGTGTTATACAACCGTTGCACATTATATGTTATAACATACGTTCATCTGTGTGCAGTATATCATAGGTAAATAGTGTTAGACTGTGGGTAGGTGTGGCGATAGACCGGCCGTTGGCTTCCCTCGCCAATGGCGGGGCGCAGGGTGCGCGAAATGAAAGTCAATTCCCTATATAAAGGGTGGTTTTCCAGCCCGACAACGACAGAAACCGATCTATTTTACTCACGCGCGAGTATCACGCCAAAGTATCGTTCAACATGAGGGCCTTGGTACGTGCTGTCACATCTCCGAGCAAAGTTAAAGAAGCAGTGCTGAAAACATTTTTGTTCGGACATAATGCTTAATCAGATTGAAGTTTAGGATTCGTCGTGCCAATCTAATTTCTTTTATGCTTACTGCGCTTTGTCATGGTGTTTTTTTTTTTTTTTTTTTTTTTTTTTTTTTTTTTTTTTTTTTTTTTTTTTTTTTTTTTTTTTTTTTTTTTTTTTTTTTTTTTTGCAAAATTGGAAGGCCTAATGTCAAAAATTAGGAAAATCTGTTATTTGTGCGAAGTTCAATTTGCGTGTGAAGATCCACAGATCCTTCAAATTTTGAATCGATATTCTCGATCGTGATAGTTGTCAGCTTTATAAAATTTGTTAATATTGTTTTGCAGATATCAATTAATTTGTTTACAGTTACTTATTCTTAAAAATAATTAAATTAAATTAGAATTATCAAGATTATTATATTATGAATCACACTGAATAGTTTCTTTTTTTATTAATCTGCACTTCATAGTTGACAGCTTTACTTAACTATGAAGTGCAGATTAATAAAAAAAAAAAAAGCTTTACGCTTTATTCAATGTCTCGAGTAATTTTCTCGAGAGTTTATCAATTTTAATAGCTCTAATTAAAACTAGACTAAATAAATATTCCAGTAATACTTATTTTTACAGATCTTCATACATTCGTTTGTAGAGTTTTACTAAAAAGTTTTTTAAAATGTTCTTTAATTTAAAAAATTCATTGCAATAACTCTGTTAATATTTATCCATCATTTGACAATTGTCTTTGTATTCATTAATATTGATCTTAATAGATTCCTTAACTAATCGATTCACAGATCGTTATAGATTTGTTTAGCTGACATTCTTCTTCTTTTTTGATTTTACAGATCTGCCTAGTACTGATCTCCGCGGCATTCGCTGCCGAAGAGAAGACGGTTAAGAAGCGTGGCCTGATCGGTCTGGGTGACTATGGACTTGGTTATGGCGGTCTTGGTCTTGATGGTGGATATGGTGGATATGGTGGATATGGCGGATATGGTGGATATGGTGGATATGGTGGATACGGTGGATATGGTGGATTAGGAGGTTACGAGGGAGGCCATAGCGTTGCCATTGCTGTCAAAGAGAAGGCCGTCGCTGTTCCCGTTGCGGTTCCGCATCCAGTTCCCGTCGATCGCCCCTACCCTGTTAAGGTATGAATTGATTAGTTTAATTTTGAATAAGATATCGCAACAAATAATGATTTTGCACATAACTTTGATAATTTAAATTAATAAATTATATAAACAAAAAGTTTACAAAATTTATATTTTATAATGTAACATTTTAATAATATAAACTTTAAATATTTTATCCTAAAAATAAATATTGAGTTAATTAATCAAAGTCTTAACATTAATTTAGTGTTTACATTTTTTACTAATTTTAATTATTATTTAATTTTAATTAAGTATCAAGTAGTTGAAACAGCAGTAAAAAATTGTATTAAACATTTTAACAAAGAAAACTAAAGAGCAGATAAATGTTATATCATTCGCTTTGACATATAATAAAATCGGAATTTTGTTATCTTCAGGTTCCAGTTGAAGTACCCAAGCCAGTTCCAGTTGCTGTTCCGGTGCCAGCGCCGTATCCCGTGGTCAAGACCCAGACCATCACGGTTCCCGTAGAGAAACCTGTACCAGTGCACATCCCTGTTAAGGTGCCAGTGCCCGTGCCTGCCCCGTATCCCGTCAAGGTAAATTATAACAAATATAGTTATATAAATATATATAGAAATTCAAATTTTTTATTAACAGTGATACTTTTATAATTTTTAAATTTTTACGAATTAGAAAATACATTAATGAATTTTGACGAAAATTAAAAACCCAAAACAAAAGTATCAAAATTTATATTATAATTTCTCTCTCTAGATGAAGAAATCATTGTCTCTTTATATTTTAACATAATTTCTGATAAATTTTAATTATTCCAATTTAATGATGTATTTAACTCGTTATAATTCTGTATTGTTTCATTATAATTCTTTATCTATTTAACGCAACAAGTAGAAATTGAGACGTGATTATTAACAGTTTCGTTGATGCTCTCGGTTTTCAGTGTAAGTAATTTCCCACCTATCTGTTAATTAATTGATATCCTTATTCCATAAATTGCGATAAGAATTATGGTTTTAGTCATTTATATTTGCGCGTTACGCGACTAGGTAAATGCATGCAAGAGAGAGGAAATCGCTCGCTAAGTTGGACAAAATTTTTAGCGTTATTGTAACTAAATTAAAATTATACTTGAAGACATCAATCGATTATTGCAATTGACGTGAAATATGCTCGTTTAATATAATTAACGCAGATACATTAGCCACAATTATTTAATCTATTAAGTACTACGTATTTTGTTTTTGAACTGTGTAATAATAATAAATTTGTAATAACGAGTAATTAATTATTTTAAGTAATCAACAGTTATATTATCCATATTATTCGTATTATTATTCTATTATTTACATTGTTTATATTAATTATTTAATATTTTAATTATTCTTGATATCTTGTTGATTCTAGGTCGCTGTTCCCCACCCGGTTCCAGTCCACATTTCTCACACCGTTCCAGTCGCAGTCCCGCACCCAGTCGTCGTCAAAGAAACAGTTCCCATCCTTGTTAAGGGAGGTTACTCTCATTACTAGATGAATTTCTCCTCAAAAAAAGTCACATACACACCATCCCGCTCCATAACCCTTTTCCCAGCAGCGCAAAATCCATCACGACGAGCGTCTGTTCCAAATACGCTTCTCTCGTTCGTGTAGTACCTTGAATTCACGAAATAAATCAATTTTGTAAATGTTTTCGTAAAGAAACTTGACTTTTTCTTTTCCTTCTGCACGCATAATTTATCTTCTATGCCAAAGATATCAATATTATTTCAATTATATTCAAAATATCGCAATAATTCTTTCTAATATTTCAAATAACATTTTTTAATATATAGAAAATGGATTTTTTATTTTATGATATATATAAGAAAAAAAAATTTTCAATACAAGAATTAATAAAAAGAATATTATACCTCTTATTAATATGCCAATAGTTATAAATTTTATTGGTGTCACATATACGATCCTACAAGATTTAGTATTTAAATATTTAAATATCGTATAAATTTTGTTTTTGTATTAATCAAGTTAATAAATATTTTTTGTAACACACATATAGTTTCATAAACAATATCAAATCTTATAGGACCATGAGAATTTAAACTAATAAAAACCGATGAGAACATGTTATAACGATCAATTTTTGCATATCTTAGATCAATTTTAATATGTAATCTTAGATCGATCTTAATGTTTAATGACATATTAAAATCTAGAAGTAATTAATTTTTTATTGCGAAAAATATTACCTCGACCGGGAATCAAATTCCTAACATAATTTTATGTTTTTACGAATTAATGAATAGTATATTTATTTTTGCGAATTTGGGTTTAATTTAAAGCCATATTATGTATTATGCATACATTTAGAATTAACAATTTTATAAAAATTTAGAACTAAATATTATTTCTAAAGTTTTCTTTCTTTCTCTATAATATTCTTGTTGAAAATCGTTTCACAAAATTAATTAGAATCAAAAATTAATTATAAGAAACAAGCGTTAATAAAATATCCGTAATGTTTATTACAATGTGTATAATAAAAATTTACTATTAAATATTTATTATTTATTATTATATATTATAAGTAGGTTTATATTATATTACACAAATACACGTGCACAAATTTATATATTATTATATCTTATATATATGTAATCTTAAATTTTTGATTTTTAATATTATATATATATAACGATAGTATGCAAATAATATGCGATACCTTCACGCACTGTTTAAGATTAGATATTTTGATGCATATTCTTGTCGCGCTTAGAAATTGTCAGGTTGAACACTTGTACGAGTAATGTCAGATACCATATGTTCTTGTCATAATGAGAATTTAATTGCTTGACCTCTGCTCCGATTTTATCATCTCGGTTTGCTTTTACCACTGATTTATTATTTCAACAGGTCTTCGTATGTCGTTTTGCACATTGCTCGAATATATTTACCTTTCACACTCTCTCAGTATGTTTCTAAGCAAGAAACGTGAGAAATGTCCTTAGGTGTAATGTAATAAAGTAAAGTGTATATTGCAACACAGTGTCTGAAATTGCTACACAAAATTTCGGCAATACGTGCTCTTATTTTTTACAGTCTGATGTTAGTAATTCACCTTGATTACGGAATAGAGTGAATAATAGGTAAATCGACCAATGTCCGAAGGTCTTTGTCTACAAATGACGTACTCAAAATATTATAGTATTAAATATTACCACTGAAAATCTAATAAACAGTTATATCATACCTTGAAAATGTGTGTGTTTTCACGAAATTCTTATTTATTTAACAATATTTTTTAAAATAGTTCTATAAATTTATAATTTAAATCATAATTTCTTTTTTTAATTTTAATACTTATATCTTTAGTGTAGAATTACATTTAGAACGCATTCTATTTTCTTTTATTAACAAACTGTAAAGAATATTTACTACAAATATAATTTTATTTTTATATTTATTATATATATGTATTTAGCCCTTATAATATTGTACATTCAATTTTGTAAAACATATTTATAGAAAATGATTATCTTTTATATACACTTTTAATTACAAATGTAAATATCCTTTTTAATAATCCTTAATTACATAAACGATTTATTAAGAAAAATTTCCGTAAAACATTAATCATAACATATTTAAGCAGAAAATGAAGAAATATTAAATAATGAGAAAACATTCTGACATTGATATAATTAATACCTGTCATTTCTGTCACAGAATACCTTTTACTGACCTATTTCTTTTTTATTAAAGTACAAACGTCATTTTAGCCGGAGATGATTGAGTAACCACTTTGCTCTTTTCTTCTTCTTCTTTTCTATTTTCTTATCTCCTTTTCTCCCTTTCTCTCTTTCATTTGAAACATATTTATTTTAAAACTTTATTTCTATTTAAATCAAATATTTTTTAGTACCGAATTATATGTTATAAAAATATTTTTAAAAAGCAAGCCAAAGTAAGAAAATGCAAATATGTAACCGAGATCGACGCAAATGAAGGAATGTGAATAAACACTCATATAAAATGCCTCAGATTATTTCGAGATAAAGGGAAAGCATACGTATATTTTTACAATTGTGCCTATTGCATAAGATTTGCATAAATTTTTAAAGCGGCCACAGAATGTAAACGAAATCAAGGTATAATTTTTTTCATACGCATAAATGCGTTTCTATCTATAGTACGTTATAAAACTTTATAATAAAAATTGTATTACTATATATATTACTATATATATTATATAATATTATGTGTGTATATTTCAGGATTGGCAAGTAACGCGTTATTTGTAACATCGTTACCGTTACAAGTTACTTTTTTCGGTAACGAATAGATAACGACGTTATATTTTCTTCGGAGTAATGTTCATGGTAACGCAACTACATTTTTGGGGTAATAGTAACGATTTCACTAGTTACTTTTATCGTTACTTTATTTTTAGTCAAGTAAAAATTTTAGTCGTAACACTAGAACTATAGAAAACAGAGATGTGACGTTAAAGAGATTGGTTTGATTGGCTCTCTTTAATCACGTCATCACGACGCCTTTTTTCACATTGTATTCACACATATATTAGGCTACATTCCGTCTCACGCATTATGCGCATGATGTATCATTTTATCCTTTTTTAATATTCAGTGAACAACAAAGATAAGAAATTTTAATAAATTTTTATATTACAATTTATTTTTTACAGATTTGATTAAGTTATATTACAGCGAAAAATGTTTAATTTAATACGTGCTGATTCATTAATCCTTTAAAGAGAAGAGGACGTTTCTGTTCAATATCATAGAATCAGATATACCAGCAAAAATTATAGTTTTAATTTTAATTGCACACATAAAAATAAGAATTAAATAAATGCTGTCATATTACATATCTATAAACAGGGTGGTGATACAAAATCCCGCATTCGGAGTACAAGACGATACTTTATGCTAAAATAAACAATTTTTTCCTTTAACAAAATTGCGTCCAATAAGTAGTTTTTACAGTAGAGCAGGTTGAAGTTCACAAGCAAGTTATTCAGATGATCTGTTTTAAATGCCTCACTCTATATATACCTATATAATACATATATATATATATATATATATATATATATACATCTTTTTAGCTCTATTCCTACTATAAAATAGAATTTTGATCTTTTTTACGTTTATCAAAAAATCTGCACATAATTAGTGTCAACAAAAAGAATAACGATTCATTATATTTTGAGTAACGATAACGAATTATTTTTGCAAATCAATAACGAGTAACGGGAACGAGTTATTCTTTTTTAGGAAAAAGAACAGTAACGAGTTATTTTTATGAGGTAACATTACCAATCCTGTATTACATGTGTGTGTATATTTATGTGTATACATATATATTATATATATATTACAAAACTCAATACACTTCAAAACAATCCTTGGTGAAGGTCGACCACGCATCTTTCTACCCACACTTTATAACAGAAAAGGCAATCGAGAATGACATACTAAATAAAAAAATACAAATCAGTTTAATTAAATTTGAATTAAACAATTTTTTAATACAAATAAAATTAAAATTAATATATTAAAATTTTTTGACAGTTATAATATTATTTAGTGATATGACTAATTAATTAAGTGCAAAATCTTTTTATTATAAAAATTAGTAATTATAAATATTTGCAATAATAAACGTCGCATAAAATAAATTTTTTTTAAAATGTTATGAAATAAATATAAATTTTCAAAGAATGTGTGAACTATATTTTGTTCCTAAATTTTAGAATAGTATTGAATCTATATACATTAACACGAACATAGGCTAATTAATAATTGTAAATATTTAAAAAGAAATAATAAATCAGCTTTGTTCTTAAAACATTTTCTTTCTAATGCTTTGATGTGATTCAATGATAGTAATTATTACTTCTAATTAGTAATATATATATTATTAACATAGATATTTATTATAAACATAGATATAATTAATTATTTTAATATAAATATATTAATTTTATTTAAACTTAGTTTTAATTACTTTTACATCTTTCAAATTTTGTTATTATATTATATATTTATTATAAATTATTTAACTGTAAAATGTAAAGAACAATTAAAGTACTTTAAGGATATGCACGTCACGCAATAAAAAGTTACAAGCTCTACAAAATTGTCTGCAACCGCAATAACCAAACACAATTGATACGAATGATACAAAGAATATAGAGAACAAAGAAGACAGGAACGAGCTTCTTCGAAGACATGAAATTGACTTTCTTTCTTGGATGGCGCGAAACGCTCCGCCTACATAATGACTTCTCGATTACATCAATTTGCACAACAATAACAAGGCACTTGGTGCTGATATACCATATTTAGTAGTTAATACTTTTGACAACTTCATTGCCTACAAATATAATCCTTTATCCTTCATAAATCATTAATAAATAATAATTTGTAGTATAGTTATCTTATTTTTGTTATTTTTTTACATTATAAAATTGATTAATTTTTATAATTTATAAATTGTTAAACTAAATATCGATGAAAACATACCATAACGGTTAAACTGGATCTTGGATGCTTCTAATATATAATTTAGTGTGAATTTATATACTACGTATGTAGATTCTTAAATGCGCGCCGAAATTTTTTTCAAACTTACAATGCAAACTCTAATAAACTACCACAATACTGTCACGAGTTAA